TTGAGTCCTGGGGTCACAGGAGATTTGGGGGCTCAAGTTGGACGTCAGTGGTTGGTCCCATCTTCATGTACCATCCAGGCCACTTGGCCTGTTGTCCGGATAAAGGGAGGACTGTCAGACTGGGGAAACTGAGGCAGAGCCCTGCACATAACCATTGGCAGCTGAGTGACCTGGGACTCTGCTTTGGCTGGAGGGCCCGAAGCCGCCGCCCTGTGTTGGCCTCCCGGTGTCTTTAAAGCTCTCGGACGAGTCACTGACACTAGAGGTGGGCAGCCTCCTGGAGGCTCCCTAGGTTCTGGGGGGATGGGGAGGTGCCCACTGGGGAGCCGCCTGGGCCCTGTCCCCTCTGGCCCATGGGGTCCCAGCAGCAGCGCCTTCCGGAAAGGTGTGTGGACTGGGAGAGGGGCTCCGCTGTGAGTGCTCCCCCCCTCCCACACCCCATGGAGCCAGAGTGAGGGTCGCACAACGCTGAGGCCCAAGCCACCCCAGTGGCCAGGCCGGTGACTGGGCCGGGAGGGGCTTGGGCCAGCAATGGGGCAGACGGTGGCCGCCACCCGGCTGGGGGACTGTGGGTGCACCCTCTCCTGGCAGGTGCTTTCGGGGTGCACGTCCCAGAGAGGGGGTTTGTGAGAGTGCATGGGTGCTGTCAGCAGGACCGGAGTCCCCTCGCCCACAGCCAAGGCCAAACCCGCCCAGGGCATGCCCTCCGGCCCCGGGGGCCAGCTGCTGGGCTCCTGCATACTCTGCCTGCCCGAGCCTTTGCTGGACGGGGTCTGGGCATCAGGTGCCCCCTTCCTCCTCGGCTGATAGGTTTGGGCTGCCCTTACTTCACTGTCGCTGGGGTGCTAGTGAGCCCCCCAGTGATCACGGTCACCCGAAGGGCACGCTCCCTGAGCGGACACCTCACCATCCGCAGGCTTCCCGGGCAGTGCCCTTCACCCGCCCCTCAGCTTGGGCAGCAGGGATGGACTCGAGCCAGGCCAGGGCCCAGCGGCTGAGCCGGACAGAGAGGCTCGGGGACCCTGGCCAGTCTCCCCCCTGCTCTGGGCCCAGACCCCATGCCTTGGCTTCTAGAATATGAGCCCAAACCAGCCGAACTTGCTTTTTCTGAGTTTCTCCCTCTCCCGCCACGGGGGTTTTGTGGCCCGTGCCCTCGTGGGCTGTGGCCAGCCCCTGGGTGGGTACAGCAGTGCTGTCAGGAGCCCCCTGTGCTCATTTCTGGAGGTGATTCTCTCTGGACACGGAACCCCAGAAACCAGGTCCTCCGTGTTGGCCCTCGGTGGAGCTGTGGGGGTTCTTCACGTCCACTCGGTCTGCAGGGGCCCATCCATGGCCCCGTGCCGCAGCCACTGTCGCCATCCACACCTGGCCACACCGGCAGGAGGGCAGAGCCGGGCCCGGGCCCTGCGGGCCGCCCGGGCAGGGACAAAGGCAGCCCATACCCACTGCAGGCCCAGCAGGGGCGGGGCCCCTGAGACAGCGGGGGAGGGAGACGGGTGCCCACTGCTGCTGTCTGGCTGGGGCAGAGTGGGCCAGGCGGGGGGCGGGGTCCCAGGCCCCACGGGGGAGGCCATGGCATTGCACACAGCCGCCTGTGTGTCCCTGAATGGGTGCTTTATCCTGGGTCCTGACTGCCGGGACCTGGCCCTGTGGAATGGAGCCAGGCGGCCAGGCCCGGGACCAGCCTGTCTTGGGGGGAGGAGGTGTGGCCACAGTGACTGAGTTGAGGCCAGACGCCTGGCCTTTGCCCAACCCAGGCCCTCCTTCCTGGCAGGAACTCAGGGTGTCCGGAGGTGGCGGCGGCTGCCGAGTCTGCCTGGCGGGGCCCAGCCTTCTCAGGGATCTGTGTCGCACCAAAGCCCCTGCCATCCTCCCGCCTGCCCCCCCAGAGCGAAAAGGAGACACAGTCCCACCCACGGGCCAGCACCGAGGCCCAAACTCCAGATCAAATTCCTGGGTGCAGTGACCGTGGAAGGGGCCATTGCTCCTGGCTCCTGTCACCTGACCTCCGAGGCGGCTGGCAAAGGAGCCTGGGCTGCACTCGGCCCACACAGGGATGGCCGTGCCACTGCTCCGGGTCATCCCATCGCTGGGCACTCCGTGCACGCAGGAGGTGCACAGCACTGCTGGCCCCTGCCCACCACATGCCAGGGGCACCTCTGTTGTGACTGTCATCCTGTCCCAGATATTGCCACATGTCCCCTGGGAGGAGGGGGCAGACTTGCCTGACTGACTTGCTAATAGTGCCAGTGGGCAGATATGTAAGGAGAGGTGGGCACCCTGGAGACCCGCAGGATGAGGGGCTGGGCTCCCAGAGGGTGTGGCTGTGTGTGGAGTGGCTCCCGTGGTTGGGCCAACAGCATCGTTCAGCGCTGGAACCCTCCGGAAAACAGACCGGAGTCCAGAGGGGGGTGAGCCCTGTTAGAGACAGAGTGCTACACAGCCACGCCTCACTGCAGCCATAGCCATAGCCACGCCTCACTACAGCCACAGCCACAGCCCTCCCTCACTGCAGCCACAGCCCCCCTCACTGCAGCCACAGCCCCCCTCACTGCAGCCACAGCCCCCCTCACTGCAGCCACAGCCCCCCTCACTGCAGCCACAGCCATGCCTCACCTGTAGCGACAGCCACGCCTCACTGCAGCCCGTCCCACCCCACCCCCTCACTCTTCTGTCTTGGAGGCGAAAACGCTGAGCCAAGTGGCTGTGAGCTTGAACCTGCCCTGGGGCCCCTCAGCGAGTGGCTCTGGAGTGCTGGTGGCATTGGGGAGTCTCCTTGTCTGTCTGGGTCAGGAGGCACCATCCTCTGCTTCTTGGGCAGGGCGTTCTGCCCAGCAGGCTGGGAGGCTAGCACCTGCTGGCTGGTGGCCCCTCTGCATGTCAGCACCCAGTCCCGGCAGGTCTGTCACCAGTGTCACCTGCTGGGGGGTGAGGGGGAGGCTCTGCTGGCACCAGCATGGCCACCTGCCAAACCCCTCAACAGGGACCTGCTGAGTCAGCAGAAACCTCCAGCAAGATCAAAACACCCTTCCTTTCCCAGAACTTGAGGGGTTTTCTGTCTACGAGGGGAAACGAAACAAAACCGGGAATAATTATTTCAGTACCGCCGAAACTGGTTTGGCTCAGTGGATAGAGCGTCGGCCTGCAGACTGAAAGGTCCCAGGTTCGATTCCGGTCAAGGGCATGTACCTTGGTTGCAGGCACATCCCCAGTAGGGGTGTGCAGGAGGCAGCTGGTCGATGTTTCTCTCTCATCGATGTTTCTAACTCTCTATCCCTCTCTCTTCCTCTCTGCAAAAAAAATAAATATATTAAAAAAAAAAAAAAGAATTGCAGTACCTGTAGTCGCGGTGACTGGTTGTTCTGAGCCTCTTGGTTGTTCTGAGCACTCCTGTCCGTGTGTCCGTGCGTCCGTGTGTGGTGTGACTGTGTTTGTGTGTGTGTGTGGTGTGACTGTGTGTGGTGTGACTGTGTGTGTGTGTGTGTGTGTGTGTGGTGTGACTGTGTGTGGTGTGACTGTGTGTGTGTGTGTGTGGTGTGACTGTGTGTGGTGTGACTGTGGTGTAACTGTGTGTGGGGTGATTGTGTGTGGTGTGTGTGTGTGTGTGTGTGTGTGTGTGTGTGTTGTGTGACTGTGGTGTGACTGTGTGTGTGTAGTGTGACTGTGTGGGGTGATTGTGTGTGGTGTGTGTGTGTGGTGTGACTGTGTGGTGTGACTGTGTGTGGTGTGACTGTGTGTGGTGTGACTGTGTGTGTGTGTGTGTGTGTGTGGTGTGACTGTGTGTGGTGTGACTGTGTGTGTGTGTGTGTGGTGTGACTGTGTGTGGTGTGACTGTGGTGTAACTGTGTGTGGGGTGATTGTGTGTGGTGTGTGTGTGTGTGTGTGTGTTGTGTGACTGTGGTGTGACTGTGTGTGTGTAGTGTGACTGTGTGGGGTGATTGTGTGTGGTGTGTGTGTGTGGTGTGACTGTGTGGTGTGACTGTGTGTGGTGTGACTGTGTGTGGTGTGACTGTGTGGTGTGACTGTGTGTGTGGTGTGACTGTGTGTGTGGTGTGACTGTGTGTGTGGTGTGACTGTGTGTGTGGTGTGACTGTGTGTGGTGTGACTGTGTGTGGTGTGACTGTGGTGTGACTGTGTGTGGTGTGACTGTGTGTGGTGTGACTGTGTGTGTGGTGTGACTGTGTGTGTGGTGTGACTGTGTGTGGTGTGACTGTGTGTGGTGTGACTGTGTGTGTGGGGTGACTGTGTGGTGTGACTGTGTGTGTGTGGTGTGACTGTGTGGTGTGACTGTGTGTGTGTGTGGTGTGACTGTGTGGTGTGACTGTGTGTGTGGTGTGACTGTGTGTGTGGTGTGACTGTGTGTGTGGTGTGACTGGGTGTGGGTGTGACTGTGTGTGTTGTGACTGTGTGTGGTGTGACTGTGTGTGATGTGTGTGACTGTGTTATGGGTGTGACTGTGTGTGGTGGACTGTGTGGTGTGTGTGTGACTAGTGTGGTGTGGTGTGACGTGTGATGTGTGTGGTGTGACTGTGTGTGGTGTGACTGTGTGTGTGGTGTGACTGTGTGTGTGTGTGACTGTGTGTGTGTGGTGTGACTGTGTGTGTGTGGTGTGACTGTGTATGGTGTGTGACTGGTGTGTGGTGTGACTGTGTGTGTGGTGTGACTGTGTGTGTGGTGTGTGTGTGTGTGTGGTGTGACTGTGTGTGTGTGTGACTGTGTGTGTGTGGTGTGACTGTGTGGTGTGACTGTGTGTGTGGTGTGACTGTGTGTGGTGTGACTGTGTGTGTGTGGTGTGACTGTGTGGTGTGACTGTGTGTGTGGTGTGACTGTGTGTGGTGTGACTGTGTGTGTGTGGTGTGACTGTGTGTGTGTGGTGTGACTGTGGTGTGACTTGCGTGTCTCTGTGCGGGGGCGTCTGCCGGAGCCGGGGCCTCTGCGGCTGGGTGTCGGGGGCCGTGTGGGGTTGGCTCCAGGGCTCACGCGTCCCCTTGCTCTTGCAGCGGAGCTGGAGTTCGTGGAGATCACCATCATCGTGGTGGTGGTGATGGTGATGGTGGTGGTGATCACGTGCCTGCTCAGCCACTACAAGCTGTCCGCGCGCTCCTTCATCGGCCGGCACAGCCAGGGCCGGCGGAGGGAAGACGCCCTGTCCTCGGTGAGTGCCGCCCTCGGGCGCCAGGGGCCCCTCGCCGGGGCCGGGACCTGCAGCGGACGGAGCTCCGGGCTCAGGCAGAGGCCGGCAGACGGGCGGGGGCTCAGGTGCCGAGCCCGCTGGTGACCCAGACAGGAGAGCCCTCCTCAGCCAGCGCCCGGGCAGGGACCCGGCACCTTGGAGGCAGAGGTCACCGGGGAAGGGTCCTTTCCGGGGCCGAGTGCAGTCCCAGCCCCTGGCCCTGGCCGTGAGCCCGTGGGCCAGGCCCTCCTTCATGACACGGGCTTCAGTCCCACCGTGTGAGCGCGTGGGGCAGACGCTGGGGTCCGAGGGCAGCTGGGAACGGAGGAGGCGGCTCACAGGCAGCCTGAGACGGGCACATCTGAGCAGTGTTGTTTGGGCTTCGGGAGGACAGCGAGGGGACAGGAGCGGCGCTGGTGTGGCCTCCGGTTCCCGGGTCCCCGGCTGAGCCAAGTCCGCAGGCAGGCCTGGCCCGGCAGGTGCTGGCATCTCCGCTTCCATGAGGCCGCGGCCTCCGTGTGCCACCAGCTCGCCAGGGCAAGAGCGGCCGCTCCCAGGCCTCACGGCTTTTCAGCGGCCGTTTGAGAGGTTGGAAGAGCCCACCGCCCCTTTGTCGTCCTCCCTGTCGTTCCCTCGGGGCTGGCGCCTGTGAGGGCCTTTGGCACGAAGGACAATGCGCCAGCCCTACAGGCCAACCCTATAGGCATGCCCCATGCTCCCTTCCCACCTAGCCCGGGCGTGCACCTGTGCAATAGGGGAGCTGGCCTCTCTCCCGCCGCCCCCGTGGCCCAGCCTCTGGTCCTGGAGGGTGAAGCTGGCCACAGTGTGGGGGTGCAGAGGCTCCGGGGAGGCAGCTCTGTGGCAGCACCTGGGACTTCAGGATTCAGGGTACCCGGGGCAAAAAGAAAGGCGCCCCCCCCCCCCACCACCACCTGCACGGGTCCCCAGGGGCGCCTGGATGGTAAACACAGCCTTGTTAGGCCTGATGAAAGGGTGGCAGCTCCCCGGGGACCCCCTGCCAGACAGGGTGTGTCTGAGGAATCTCTGGCCCAGCAACCTCCCAGAGAGACCCAAACCCTGCCACCGTCTGCCTGGGGCTGGGCCTGGCTGCCCTGCCGTGGCCCTTTTCTAGGTGACTTTCTGGGTATTTGCTTCCTCACTGGCACGCAGTCAAGCCCATTTCCATGGAATCTTCCCTGGTGGCTGTGTCTGCCCCAGAGCAACGCTGTTAGTGACGTAGCAGACCGTCTGCCCCACCAAGCAGAAACTAGCTCACTCTCTGGTCCTTTATTTATTTACTTTTTATATATATTTTATTGATTTTTTTTTGATTTTTTTTTTTACAGAGAGAAAGGTAGAGGGATAGAGAGCTTGAAACATCAATGAGAGAGAAACATCAATCAGCTGCCTCCTGCACAGCTCCCACTGGGGATGTGCCCGCAACCAAGGTACATGCCCTTGACTGGAATCGAACCTGGGACCCTTGAATCCGAAGGCCAACGCTCTATCCACTGAGCCAAACCGGTTAGGGCTCTGGCCCTTTAAGGAAACAGTTTGCAGACCCCTGATTCTACATGGGGAAACCATGCCAGGCTGGACGGGCTCACCACAGGGAAGATTCTAGAAAAAAAAGGATGGCGCCTGGACGTGGAGGGGATGGGAGTGGGGCACTGTCAGGAGCAACCCTGAGAGTCTGGCATTTGCATCTGGAAAGATGTTGGGGCCATTCACTGAATTGGGGAACAAGGCGAGGAAGGAAGATGGCCGCTTGGCAGGGACTCTACTTGAGTGCAGGGCCGCCCTGGCAGTAGGTTTCTGTGCCCAGGGCCAGGCTGGGGGGGAGCTGGGGTGCTGTGGGAGCCTCCAGCCGGGCGTCTGGCCTGGTGGGCGGTTCCCGGAATTCTGAAGGAGGAGGTGCCCTCATGGCGTAGTCAGTGGCAAGGATGGTGGATGGTTCTGGGTCTGCCGTGGGGCACCCAGGCGCTGATGGGTGTTTTCGTAACCTCCCTGGGTGGTGCTATTTTGCAGCCAAGTGGAGAGCCTCTGGGCTAGGGCTCCGTCGGTGGGGCTGGAAGTGGGGGAAGAGGTGTTGGCAGCCATGTCCTGCTGGGGCTTGGCTGGAGGGCCTCACAGGAGGCTTTTAGGGAGGCTTGCATGGGTCCCATTTCATCCAAGACCCCGTGGCTTCTTGCACTCCTCCCCTGGGCTCCCGACTCCACTTGGGAGCAGGTGGTTGGTTTAGTGGGAGAATTGAAATGATGCTTAAAGAGCTTATCACAGTGCCTGACACCAAGGCAGCAATTGAGAGATGGCATTGTTAATTAATATTAGTACCAAGATGGCCATTGACCACCGTATTAACAGTAACATGTATGTCTGCTGTCTGCACCCCCATGCCTGGAACATGCTAGGCCCCAATGTGTCTTTATGGTTTTAGTCAGTGCATTCCTGTTGGGACAGTTTTGAGAGACACAGGCCCCCCTAGTGGCCATGTCGGAAATTGCAGCCCTCCAGAGAATCCTCAACTTGGAACCCCTCCAGAAAAAGTGCCCCCAGTGAAATTAATGGGATGATGGGTGTGTTTGTTATTTGATTGTGGTGATGGGTTCCTGGTATATACATATGCCAAAACTTAACCAAGTTATATACTTTGAATATGTGCAGTTTATGATATGTCAAGTACATCTCCATAAAGCTAGCTTTAATTTTTAGATTTTTTTGCCCCTCAGATGTACTGATCCTGGTGTGGGGGTCCCACTTCCCTGGCCTTCAGGCGTCTCCTCATGAAACAGGGATCTCAGTTCAGAGGGAGGGGTCTTTCGTCAGAGGATAGAGGACCCGGAACCTCTGGCAGGGTTTCCGGCTCGCTGGGAGCCGAGGCCCCGATGTCTGCAGAGCATGCTGTTTCCTTTCCCCGGGCTCACTGTCTAACCCCTGACGGGCCAAGGTCAGGGTGGCCTGAGCAGGACAGACGCTGCCCGCAGCAGGTAGTAGGGATGAGGGAGCCAGCAGCGTGGCTGAAACTCTCACCTAGCCAGTGCAGCCTGGCTGCCTGTGCACAGACTGGAGTCCAGAGCCAGCCCTGTCCGCTCCCCAGGGGAGCTGCAGGCCCCACCCAGAGTTTCAGGGCAGAGGGCATAAGCCTCATGAGGTGGCAGCGACATGCCTGGCACCTGACCCAGAGCTTGGCACAGAAGTGGGGCCACATCCACAGTCTGTTGACTCACTGAATCATGTCGTGGCAAAGCAGCGAGGTGGGGCTTCCCTGGTTAAAGCCTGTTTCTTCACCTGTAACCTGGGCTCACAGCGGGGAGGCCAAGACAGTCAAGAGCTAAGTAAACAAGCAGACGAGATGTCTTGTGACGGAGCTCATTAGAGGACAGGATTTGTGATGGGTGAGGGCCTCCCGGGTATGGTGTAGGAGGAAGTCTGCAGGGGACACTGGGATCAGAAAGCAAGGAGCCCTGCTGGGCGGCTCAATTGGTTAGAGCATTGTCCCGTGCAAGAAGGGTCTTAGATTTGATGCCCAGTCAGGCACATCCTGGAAGCAGCAGACCGATGTTTCTCTCTCACACATCTCCCTCTCTCTTCTCCTTCCTCTCTCCCTCCCCACCTGTCTCTAAAAGCAATGTACATATCCTCGTGTGAGGATAAAAAGAAAAAACAAGGAGCTGGCCATGCAAAGGCCCTGAGGTGCACACCTGGCATTTCGTTGCACTCGGTAGCAGTCAGCAGGGCTGGAGACAGCTGGTGATGGGTCCAGTGTTTTCATATGCTCGCAGAGAGCGCCGTGTACTCTGAGCCGTTTGTGCGCTCCACTCCTTCAGGCTGGAATCCAGCCTCTCGCCAACGTGGCACACGCCAGGCAGGGATGGGCAAGGCCAGGAGGGCTGGATCCAGCCAGGCTTTCTTAGCAGCTAGCTGGGTGACTTCGGGTTTATTCTAAGGTCCGCAGGAGGCGCTGGCAGGTTCAGAGAAAGGAGGGTCAGTGCATGTTTTAGAAAGTTTGGAGGATGCATTTTCGGGGACAGCGGGGGAGCCCAGAAATGGGTGTCTGAGGTGTCAGGGGCCCGGTGGGGTTGGAGAGAGGTGGCTAGTGCGAGGTCTCATTCCAAACGGAGGTCCCAGGGTCAGAACCGGGTGGACCCTTGGCTCTCGGCTGTGCTTCATCCACTGACCGGCCTCTCTCCTCCCACAGGAAGGATGCCTCTGGCCCTCGGAGAGCACCGTGTCGGGCAGTGGGATCCCCGAGGTGAGCCCCATGCAGTGCGCCTGCCACCCCCTCCCCCTCCTGCCCTCCATACCTGCCCCCCAAAGTGCTTCAGCGGACCAGACGCCCCAGCCCAGCGGCGCCCTTCCCGGGCCTGAACCGCCGGCTGCCTTCTCTGAAGAGACGCGCGGTGGCTGTCCTCCCTGCCCGGACAGGATGCCCCTCCCCAGGGAGCAGTCCGTGTCCGCCCCAGACCAGTCAGGCGGCCCCTTCCGCCCTGAGGACCCCAGGCTCGCCCCCCGCCCTGCCTTTCCCCAGAGAGCAGGGTCGCGCACCCATCCTTGCTTCGGGCCCTGCTTCCGGGGACCCTCACTCTGCTCCCCTCGCTCCAGCCTCAGGTCTACGCCCCGCCGAGGCCCACGGACCGCCTGGCCGCGCCGCCCTTCGCCCAGCGGGACCGCTTCCACCGCTTCCAGCCCACCTACCCCTACCTGCAGCATGAGATCGACCTGCCGCCCACCATCTCGCTGTCGGACGGGGAGGAGCCGCCGCCCTACCAGGGCCCCTGCACCCTCCAGCTGCGGGACCCCGAGCAGCAGCTGGAGCTCAACCGCGAGTCGGTGCGCGCGCCCCCAAACAGGACCATCTTCGACAGCGACCTGATGGACAGCGCCGTGCTGGGCGGCCCCTGTCCCCCCAGCAGCAACTCGGGCATCAGCGCCACGTGCTACGGGGGCGGCGGGCGCATGGAGGGGCCGCCCCCCACCTACAGTGAGGTCATCGGGCACTACCCCGGCGCCGCCGCTGCCTTCCAGCACCAGCCGGGCGGCGGGCCGGCCACCCTGCTGGAGGGGCCCCGGCTGCACCCCGCGCACCTCGCCGCCTGGAGCCCCGAGGAGAAGCAGAAGGGACACCCCCTCTAGGCCCGGCGCCGGCCGTGGTGGGTGAGAGGCACACACTCGCACTTCGAAGGAGAGAGGGGAGGCCGCCCTCCCCCTCCCCCTCCCCGTGTATAAATAGTCACGTGTCTGTCTGGTCCGGATGCACAAGCTCCGAAAGCTTGCAGGACAGCCAACACACACGCGCACACACACACACAGAGACCATGTTTCTTTGCTGAGCCCCGTCTTGAAGGCAAAAAAAGAGAAGAAACAATTCTACCCTAGTCTTTTTTTCTGTTGCTAGTCCAGCTTCGTGAAGGCTTCCTTTCGTTTGTTCATGACGATTTCACTTAACTTTAAAAAGAAAAACATATTTGCACAAAACCTTTGTTTAAAGATCTGCAATATTATATATAAAAGTCTATATAAAGTAAGAGAAGCTGTATGTCTGAGGGCAGGAGTATTTTTGTATCAGAAGAGTCCTATTGAACACACACACAGGCCGTCTCCTGAGCGAGGAGAGGAGCGGCCGCTCGGAGGGCCGGCTCCGAGCGTGTGTATTCACCTTGTAAAGAAAGCAATGACAGAGCAGGGGTCTAGAGTTATTTATATAAATGTTGAGCTTTTGCACTATTTTTTAATATAACTATGTCAGTGCTTGTTGGACGGACACTTTTATCGCATTTGTCGAGACTCTGAGGGAGGGTTGCCGGGCAGAGGGGCTGGGACAGTGCAGCCGTCTGCCGCGGGCGCTGTGCCCGGGGCAGGCTCTCCCTCCTCACACATTCCCGCCCGAGGGGGACACGCCTCCTCCTCGGGGCCAGAACAGCCTTTGAATCGCATGAAATAGAGGCACCGAGTTCCAGGTGGTGGCTTTGCTTCCCCAAATGAAATAAACTGTTACTGAAGGAATTTGAGTTTTCCCTCCTATTTTTTATGTTTAATCATGAAGGTCCCCGTAGGCGGGGGCGAAGGTGCTGCTATGGACACGTCGAGGGGGCAGATGGCTTGGTGTGCAGAATTCGGTGGTGGCCCCATAACGGGTCGGTTAAGGCCTGTGCAGTCCACTGGCTGCAGGAAAGGCCCAGAGTCTTAGGCCTGTGCTCCTCCCTGTCTTGCTCTCCATGTGTGATTCCCACTTAACGGGCCAAACACAAGATCACAGGTGAAGAAGCGACACTCCCAGCACGAGCAGAGGGGTCGTCGCAGCCACTGCACCCCACGCTTGAGGCTGTGCGTCCGGGTCCTGTGAGACCCGGGAAGTCATTGGGTCTGGCCCTGCCAAGGCCTCAGGGGTGAGTGAGTTAAATGTCTGACCGAGCACCGCGGGCTAGGTTCTAAGGGTGATTTTGGATGACCCGCGGATGAATAAAGCTTCCCCACCCCTGCTTGGCAGCGGGTCCTCCGCCTTCTCTCCATCCCGTTCCTCCTGGACGCAGTCCTGTCATGTGTTTCTCTCCCTGTGTTCCCGTCAGTATCTTCCTCAGACGTGAATCCTGTTTACCGGGTTCCACTGAGTAGGTTGGGGTGTGGAGAGACCCCTCGTGGGTGTGCATGGGCACACGTGTGTGCGAGTGGAGCTGAATGGCAGGAAGTGGAGTTGGGGGTCCCTTGGCGTCTGCCGAGGACGGTGGCTGGAGCTGGAGCCCTTTCTCCCGGTGAGGACTCGCTAATCTCCATGAGAGGTGACCCCCCCAGCCGGCAGCCCCCGCCTCCACCCCCACCCCCCACCCACAGAGGTGTCCTCATTTCCGGCGGACGTAAGAGAGAGAGATGAGGCCATAACTATTGTTTTTAAGCGACTATTTTATTACTTGCAAAATGAAAACCGGGGAACAGTTTTGACGTTCTGACCATTTGAACTCTGTTTATAGACACACTTCACAAACAGCCGAGCACCAGGCGCGCCCACTGTGTCCTCAGCCAGCCTGGCAGGGGCGCCCGCCTCACAGCACCCGCCTCTCCGTGGTCTTCCTGGGGCATGCTGCCCTCCGAGAGGGTTCTTTTCTAGGGCCGCTCAGACGTCCTGCCACCTGTGCCGACAGGACAGGGACAGTTTGTAGGGAACGGTTTTAAAGGTACGTTTCCGGGGAGCTCTCTAGTGCCTTACTGAGGAAGCACTGGCTCCGGTCGCCCGGACCCGCCTCCCGCTCCTGGCCCGCAAAGGGCTGCTGCTTCTCACACCCCCTTTGCTCTCCCTCATCCCAGCCCACTGCCCTCCACCTGCACTCCTCCCTGGGCCAGGCAGCCCCTGCTGCCCCATCCTCCCTGGCCGAGTACTGTGCTTACTGCCCCCCATCCCCCTAGGGCGGAAACCTGGAAGTGGGCCTCTTTTGTGTGAGCAGCATCAGCCAAGAGTCAGCAAGCAGCGCCCCCGGGTCCTCTGAACCTCCTTACCGGTCTGGTCCGAGCTGCTGTACTTGCAGAGTGAGGAGGAAGCTGGCAGCCGACCTCAGCGGGTTTGAGGGCAGAGCTGGCTCCTCTGATCAGCCCCTGTCAGTGCTGGTCCTGCAGGCCAGGTCGCCATGCGGGCCTGTCCCTGGGCTCGAACCCAGCAGGTGACAGCTGGGGCATGCATCGCAAGAGAACAGTGGTGTGTGTTTCCAGAAATTGGCGCCGTAGCTAAGCTGTGGGTTTCTCTGGACCCCAGAGCTGTGGTGGGGGTGAGGGCGTACGATTTCCTCTAGGTCACCACTGTCAGGTTGTTACCCTTGAAAAGCCTTTGCGCACCCTCAGGAGGCCCCCTGTTGCCGGTAGAGGGTTGGGGGGTCTTTAGAAGTGCTGGTTGGAGGGGACCGGGTTGGGCTCAGAAAAGGGGTGGAGCTCGGCTGTCCGTAATGCTCATTGTTTTCCTGCCTGTTAGTCATCACATCCCCGCACCCCATTCCCACCAAGCCTGGTCCGGGCACACGGACTCGGCAAAATCCACGGTGAGCCGTCCGCGTCCTCAGAGCCCAGGGTCTGTGCTCAGAGCTAGGCGACCCCTTCCCGGGCAGCGAGCTCCGCTCCGTCCCCGTCCTTGTCCGTCTTGTCTGCGAATTCTGTGTTTCAGAGATTCCTCTTCTACGTGTAACGCAAAGCTTCGGGGCCCATAAAACATCCCGGTGACAAGGGAAGAACTGTCATCCTCCGGAATCTGGGCTTCAGACGTTGCTGTGACCATGGGGCTGCGAAGGCCGCCGGACCCCGCAGCGGTGTGCGAGGGCGGCGCCCACCGGTGTCCTTGGCGCCGGAACGCTCGCCTTTGCCGCCTGTGTCCCGACTTCGGCAAACTGCAAACTGGACTGGACCGGGCTCACGCCGCCGCCGCTGCGGGGGGAGCCTCTGTGCTCGACGCCAGGCCACGGGCCCGATGATGGCTTGTTATCAGTAATCGTCAGTGACGAGGATGACATTCTGAAGAGCTGCAATACTTACACAATAAATTTTACAATCTTTGGAACGAGGCTGGTTTAGTTCTTTGGTCGTTCCCCTGCCTCCACCGCCCTCGGCAACAGCCCCCGGGCCCCACGGAGCTGCCCCACGGAGCTGCCGGAGACCTTGGCCAGTTCCTTCTGCCCCTGCTGTAGGGCAGGGAGCCCCGTGCAGTGCGAGCTCGGGCGGGTGGTTTTAGCAAGAGAGGTGGTGTTTGGGTTAAAGGAATTTCCAAAACATTACCTACTTTTCCCCCTCCGGGAAATTTTTAAATCACCAAAGCGTGACAAAGGCTCTGATAAGGTCTGCGAGAAACTGAGGTGGGGTTCTTCTAGGAGTACACTCTGAGACGTGCCCCTGGGTGAAGGGAGGTGTCACGGTTGTCTCCCAGGGAGACCAGGGAGTCGGAAGTGGATCACAGAACCCCAAAAAGGATCTCGGGTCTGAGTGAGGCACCCACAGTGCCCACGGCAGAAACTTGCTTATTTCTCTCATGTCTAAGGGTTGCTTTTCCATCAGCCTAAACAGCTGTGCCCGTCCGGATTCCGTTGTCGGCAGATTTCCGGTGGACGCTGTCCCTCGGCCTCCATTCTCTGGTGGGTGAAGAGAAGTTGTTGGTTTTTATTTTTATTATTTTTTAAAATATATTTTATTGATTTTTTAGAGAAAGGAAGGGAGAGGGATAGAGAGTTAGAAACAGCGATGAGAGAGAAACATTAATCAGCTGCCTCCTGCACAACCCCTACTAGGGATGTGCCCGCAACCAAGGTACATGCCCTTGACCGGAATCGAACCCAAGACCTTTCAGTTCGCAAGCCGACGGACGCTCTTCCCACTGAGCCAAACAGTTTCTTGCATGTTGGCTTTTAGTTTGTCCACTTGTTTCTTCTTGTGAGAATGATGACTTCAAGACTGTTTGCACCTCACACTGGAAACAGAAGTTCCCTGTAAAAATAAAAGTTCTCTTTGTTTAGAAGGTGAGCTAGACTTACACCCTATGGAACTCACAGGTAATACCTAGTGGGCTTAGTGTAGGCACAACGTGGTGCCCTCATCCCCGGGCCGAATTTCAGGACGTCCCCATCTCCCCAGTGAAACTTTGCTCCGTTCCAGTCCTTCCCCAGCACCGGGCAGCCACAGTCCTCTTCCTGTTTCCGTGGGTTTGCCTACTTCAAACATTTTGTATAAGCAGAGTCATGCAATCTGTGACCTTTTTCTTAGATTGTGTGTCTGGCTGCTTTTCCTCAGCCTGTTTTCCAAGGCTCGTTCATGGTGTCGCGAGCATCAGTACACTTTTCGGTGAGTCCCATTCCATCGTGTGGGTGGGTTATTACAGTTGTTTATCCATTGCTCAGTTGGTGAACATTGGGGTAGACTCCACGTTTGGTGAGTCTGAATAATGCCGCCCTGAACACTCATGTACAAGTTTCTGTGCGGACATATGTTTTCACTTATCCTCGGAGAGGAACTAGCCAGTTGGATCACATGGTAGTTTTATATTTAACTTTTTGAAGATCTGCCAAACTGTTTTCCTCATCAGCAGCACCAATTCACATCCTACCAGCATGAATGAGGCCCCAATTCCCACATCCTCACCAGCACTCGCTCTTTCCCTTTCTTTCTTTCTTTCTTTCTTTCTTTTTAAAAATTATATAGATAGTATTGATTTTTTTTTTTACAGAGAGGAAGGGAGAGGGATAGAGAGTTAGAAACATCGATGAGAGAGAAACATCGACCAGCTGCCTCCTGCACACACCCCACTGGGGATGTGCTCACAACCAAGGTACATGCCCTTGACCAGAATCAAACCTGGGACCTTTCAGTCCACAGGCCAACGCTCTGTCCACTGAGTCAAACCAGTTAGGGCCCCTTTTCTTAAAATTATTACATTTAAGGCTATCTGGTGGGCATGAGGTATCGTCTCATTGTGGTTCTGAGTTGCATTTCCCTGAGGATGAATGATGGCCGGCATGTTTTCACCTACATACTGAATGTTTGCATTTCCTCTTTGGGGAGACGTCCACTCAAACTCTTGGCCCATTTTTTAAAAATATATATTTTATTGGTTTTTTTTTTTTTTTTAGAGAGAGGAAGGGAGAGGGATAGAGTTAGAAACATCAATGAGAGAGAAACATGGATCAGCTGCCTCCTGTACGCCCCCTTCTGGGGATGTGCCCTCAACCAAGGTACATGCTCTTGACCAGAATCAAACCGGGGACCCTTCAGTCCACAGGCCGACACTCTGAGGTTTGGGCTCTTTACCCATTTTTTAAACTGATCCTAAAGAGAGGAAGGAGAGAGAGAGAGAGAGAGAGAGAGAGAGAGAGAGAGGGAGAGAGAGAGAGAGAGAGAGAGAGAGAGAGAGAGAGAGAGAGAGAGAAACAGTAGTCAGTTGCCTCACGAACCCTAACAGGGATGACGCTCCAACCAACTGAGCCGCAGCAGGCCCTTGGCCCATTTTCTATTGGGTGACTTGCCTTTTATTGCTGAATTGTAAT